TTGTTATTTGTCTCCATAAGTAGTTGCACAAAACCTTTGAAGTTGTCTTGTTGTTGGCTCAACAGTGTACATCTGCTTCTGGTGACTCAACATTTCTGTTACTTGCGCCGCTGAAATATAATCCTCTTCTGCTTCAACATCCTCATTCGCTTCTGATTTATTAGCTCTTTTCCCTCTTGGAGGCATTTTAATAGTTGTAGAATTTGTTCAAAGACTTGAAAATGTAGAAGATGTGAAAAATCGTAGAACAGACAAGAGGAGCAGTAAAGACGTCTGCTCTCGCTTGCAATGTTAACCACCTTATATGCTTAGATTTGAAGTACTTTACATACAGTACTGCAATTTAGCTTGTGAAGCTACCACCAGGAATCAATAGTCATATGATTAGACTGTATTTTGTTTTATTAATCTGATTCTGAAAAATAAATGGGGCGTTATCAAATTAGTGGAGTAAAATGTACAATATTTGACTCTGAAAGAAGACGTAGCAGAAAATAAAAATACTCAAGTACAGATACCTCAAGCTCATAGTTAAGTATGTGATAAATGAGGTACAGGGGAGAATACAGTTGACACAGCTGTGAAGAGGAACAAGGAAGAGAGAAGTGTGTGGGGCGGGGAGATGAAGAGGGCCGAGCTGACATCTTTACAGGTGGCAGACCAGTGACACAGGAGTGGCTGGCTCAGGCATGAAAAGCCTCTGACAGCGTGTCCCAATTTAAAATTTCCTCCTGCCCACACAGCAGCTAATAACACAGCAGGCTGGCGCTTCAGAGATACGATCTGTCAACAGACATATTACAGCTTGTGGGATCAGGCATCGGCTCATTACCCAATGTGAAAGGTGTGGACTTTATACTACACTGACACTTCACAGTGGAGGAATGATAAAACAAAAGGAAGCTCATTTAGGTTTCATAAAAAAAGGATTCTCCTCAACAAGGGTTTCTGTCGGTTTCATCACTACTCAACTTTCTCAGCCCCCTTTGCTCGCCCTCTCTCTCTCTCTCCAGCATCCATGTGCTGTAATGAACACACACATGCACACACACTCCTACATGAGCTGTCAGAAATCACAGACATGCTGCTTTCTCTCCTGCTCTGATGATAATTTGATTGCTACAAGGGGGAAGCGCTTTTCACAACTCATCAGAAAATTAGACAACATGGAGAAGTCTCATCAGAGATTCGGAGGTTTCAGACAAAAAGCATCAAAGGGAAAACAATGCTGGATAGACAGGTTTTTGATGGAGAACTCACACCTACTATTTTATAATCAATGGTCTCCTATACTGGTTCAGTGGCTCAGTGGGTGGCTATCAGCTCACAGCGAGAAGGACCTGGCTCTGATTCACAGCGACTTCTGTCCGACTTCTCACCACGTTTCTGCACCCTGTGGTTTTCAGGCCAAAGATGCCCAGAGTTACTTGGACCAGACACTAAACTGCCCATGTAGAGGAGACTGAAGCATGCTGGGCGCGGGAAGGTAGCCACCACCGCAACATGCTGTAGCACAATATGAGCTGGTGTATTGCTGAAGAAATTATTTTTAGGAACCTGTTTTGCTGCTTTTCTGCATTCTGCAGTGTTTTCTTCTACAAAAGCTTTTAAGGTGCAGACTAGCACGTCATAATTACAAAGGACATAGCAGTGTGCCTGTGAAGAGGCCAGATAATTGCTGCTTAAACTGCTGATGCAAACCCAAACAGTAAAAAATCATGTAACACAGCAATGTCAAAAGTTTAAATGGCTACAATACAAAGACCATTAGAAAAGTAGATCCTTACCACGGCTGACAGAAATACACTTACTGTACAGTTTTTTTACCATTTACACTGCAACCTAGAGCCTCAGAAGTTACCACATCGCTGAAAGTATTAATAAAAACAAAAAAATGCAAGCTTCACCAAATAAAAATTTGCAGGGCTATTATTTTGGAAGGTGTTCCGTTATTGGAGAATACCCACTTCAATGTTGACACTGTCATGGATGTGCATCAAGGTCGGACCTATTTAGCAACTTGCAGAATGAGCAAAGGACTAGGACAAGCTACATAAAGGTAAGATTTGTACTTTTTAGAAGTGTTTTCAAACATCGTGGTCCACCTTTACAAGAGAAAAGACTGCCACAACAATGTGGCTGGCTTTGCATGGCCTAATGTTGCGGCACAAATTAATAAGATAGTTCTCAATTTGTATCGCTTCAGGAGAGCAAAGGAAGACGCAGAGGCCCTGCTCCAGGATATAAGAATTTCCAGCAGTGTCATACCAAGGTGCCGCGACTCTATTACAGCTAAATAACTGACAGCAGGTGCCAGCTTGGTAACCTCAGTGATATTACTTGTACTGCCTTCTTTCTCAACATCCAAAGCACAATCCTGCAGAGCTCATCCTGTCTTATTAGCACCAGGGGGAGTTACAGTATATATGAGAAAGACCCTCCTTTGACCTTAATACAAAGGATCCCTGAATCTTTTCCTCGCCCAAGCACAGAGCAGATGTAATAGCTGCATTGTATTTGCCTGGGCCAGCCACTGTATAACACAAGTGGATTAGTAGACAATCACATCTGAGAGCCAGGCCTTATCAGTTGTCCAATCACCATCACTGGTCTATTAAGACTGTCAATCAGCAGAAACCTACACCAGTAACAACCCCACTGACTCGAGAACTGTATTATCACCAACACAGGTTCTGTGTGGGTGTAGGAGTAAAGGCAAGTCTACAGGGTCATCAGGTGGGCACCCACTCACTGGTGTTTCATTGAGTTACATTCATGGCACTGAGAAGGCTCACCAGTGTGTTCCAGCATCCCAGAACCACCCTGCTCTTTGCCTGCACCCACACATCCAACACAACATCTACGCTCTTAATAAATTCAGGCTGTTACCAAAAAATAACTAAGCCAAAGTAAAACACTATCAAACATTTCAAATGCTGTTCTAGCCACCAATTATTTCAGATAACTCACCAAACATGTCAGCTAACCCAGACAAACTTCTGCTTCCTTTTGTGCTGCATCAGAATCCACCCTTTGCCATCATTCACTCCAACAAAACCAGTCAAGCTTCTAATATGTCCTCATGTTAGCTTGCTCATGCCAACACCAGGAAGTAGGGCTCAAGCCTGCCTCGTGTAACAAACATTTTGTTAAGCCTGTCCTCCTGTGCTAGTTTACTTTATCTTAGCAGGCATGTTCAAAGCACTTATCCATCTTTCACCCCATTCACACATGCCTTTCTTCTGCTCCAGAGCCACTCACTGGACCTCGCTGCTAAGGTCTTGACTCTCTCTCAGACTCCACCCAATTAAATTCCACTGTGGTCTTAATAAATGCAAGCAGTCACATTAAAGACAAATCTATGGGAGCAAATTCAATAGCTGGACTAAGTGATGACCTGCAAGCTTTTCATTTCATTACTTAATGCAAATGTTAGCACAGAAACAAAACTATCAAAAGGATCTTTCTGTTTTTACATCATGATAAAAATCTGTTTACGTTTTCTTGGATTGTACTGTTATAATGTGACTAACCAAATCTGCTTAGAGTTGTTAGACTCAAGTCTGGTTTCAAAAACCATAATTCTCTGGTCCCACAGACAGAGCCTGTGTAAAAGATGTTTTACTGATGCGATTCAATTTCTTAACAGGGGTTTAAAGTTCACAGAAGACGATTCTCCCTCTGCTATGCTACAGTGTAATCTGTTGCTTGACTGGCTTCCTGATGTACTGAAACAGTGTCACTGCCACTACCTGTGTTTCTCCACAGACCAAACCTCCAGGCACCAGCAGGGGTTTGGGTGTGGACCTCCCCTCACTGTCCACAGACAGCTCCCTCTCACTGTCCCAGGAATGTGAGCGCCGAAGTGTGGCCTGATGCTGAACCCTCAGTCCTGTGGGTCTGCAGCTCAACTCTTCTACCAGACTACGTCCTCCTTCCCCACTGCAGTTGCTGTTCCTACCCAGCTCATGTGGGCCTTCTTGGTGTGAGGTGTCCTTCAGGGACAAGGTCTGGAGCAGACTTCTGGGGGTGTCGTACCACATTTTAAACTGGTTAGGAATCTGGTACTCCCCACTGTGCCTACGAGATGTACTAGAGCTAGATCTGGAAGCACAAGAGCAGGAGGAGGAAGTAACAGGACTGAGCCCTGAGTCGAGTATGGACTGAAAAGCAGGAGGAGGAGAAGAAGGTGGATGAGGAAGAACAGGAGGAGGTGAAGATGGAGGAGCAGGTAGGCTGGCCACAGACCCAAACTCCTCGGCTCCGCCCTGACTGGCCATGTCCAAACTCCCTGTACATGAAGAGAAGCTCCCTGAGTAGGATGACTGACTGCCTGTCGCTAGCCCAATCCCGATCCCACTGTCTAATGAGCTCTGCCGCCCGCTGTCATGGAGACCACGAGGGTGGAGCTGGGCAGAGCCTCCCATCACAGTAGCAAACAGCCGGTCATCTGAACTGGTCAAAGCCTTCAGCGTGGAGGAGCTTGATGCTGTTTCGGAGTGGTGCGATCTAGCCAATGGCTCCACCCAAAAAGCCAGTCTGGTTCCATAGCTTGCATCTGATTGGCTGGAGGAAGAGCTGGAGATGCTGCTGTGATCATCCCCAGCAACAGATGTGCTGCAACTGTAAGTGGAGGCTGAAGAGGGCAAGAAAGTGATTAGAAACAGAGGAAGTGATATATTATTAAATCTGCGCACACACACACACACACACACACACACACACACACACACACACACGCATCCAAAAAGTGAGGAAACTGCAGCACAAAAAATGTTTAATTAGTATGAATGCCTTAAATTTGGTTCTGGGTACAAAATTTTATGACCCTGTAAAATCAATTTATAACAGTTTTCATTTGCTAAAGTTTAAGTCATCTTGTTTAAGTCATGAAGGCACAAATTTAAAAAAAAAAAACTAAAGCTAGTCAGCTGAAAATAATCATGAAACCTTTAACTGACTTTCCCCATTTCTGACTAATAGACTGAAATAATTATAACACAAACTTTCACAGCTCATAAATATAGAACAGTGATTAAGCCCACGTGTGGACATAAGACCAACCAGCCTGAGTGTACAGGGAGCACTGATGAGTCAGAAGGTTCATCGCTGTCTGAAGGCCTTTAGAAGAGACATACTTTCCCTCTTATACTGTATAATACAGAGCGGTCAATAAATGGCTATAGTGGTTACTAAAATACAACTGGAGGTGACACCGACACAGTGATGTACCTGTGCTGCTCGCTAAGCTGCACTGCGACAACATGCTGAGCCTTTTCTCCAGCTTCGATGCCTCCTGGCTGATTCGTTCCTCTGCTGAGGCAGGGTCGGCCCCGAGATCTGTTGTTGATACATACAGACATGCACAAGCAAACAAAAGGCACAGAACTGTCAGATTTTATAAGCAATGAGAATGAAGGCACTGCGCAGGTTTATGCACAGAACCGAAGATACTACGATATCATTTTATGTGTCTATTGTTTTATACAAATGGGTTCAATCTGGAGAAAGAATTTTCAGATTAGCTCAGTAAATCTTGGGACAGACCGATTCTTGACCCTCCTTGCATATCGCCATGTCACAATCTTGTAAAGCTTTCCCCTGTTCATGAGTTTCACAGTAGACTTTCCTTAAACATTAAAAATGAATACAATGGTATGTGCAGGAAATCCACCTATTTTAAGCTTCTCTAAACCGTAGAACACAATTAAACCTCGACCATAACTGTAGCGAAGATTAAAAGCCCCACTAGAGATAATGCATTGTTGATCCTTGAGGCTGTGCAGCTGTTGCACACTGTTGAACATGTTGATATAATCTTTAACTCTGTGAAGTTTAGACTAATATGTATCAGAATGGGGAAAATTCTAAAATGAATTAAAAGTAAAGCAGAACTTCACTTAACCAAACAAAAAATATACACACCCCAGTATACAATCTAAACTTAAATATATGCTACATGTAGCATAGCAAAATACTGTATAGCACAGCAATAATCTTTATAAATGCTCTCAAGTAAAAATGTGACTGTAGCTCAGATATATGAAAGAATACACTGCAATTACATGGCTGTAAATAAAAAAATGTTATATTTCACATTTTTTAAAAAGAACAAAAGGCTTCACTGAAAATTGGTTTCTAGGTTAATACAAAATGGAAATATTAAGGCAAAAGAGCACCAACATGTGTACAAGCCTCCTTTTTAATGTTGGCAATGTGCGCGTCTCCGACTGTTAAACCAGCTTTTACAGTGCCTTGCGAAAGTATTCGGCCCCCTTGAACTTTGCGACCTTTTGCCACATTTCAGGCTTCAAACATAAAGATATAAAACTGTAATTTTTTGTGAAGAATCAACAACAAGTGGGACACAATCATGAAGTGGAATGAAATTTATTGGATATTTCAAACTTTTTTAACAAATAAAAAACTGAATAATTGGGCGTGCAAAATTATTCAGCCCCTTTACTTTCAGTGCAGCAAACTCTCTCCAGAAGTTCAGTGAGGATCTCTGAATGATCCAATGTTGACCTAAATGACTAATGATGATAAATAGAATCCACCTGTGTGTAATCAAGTCTCCGTATAAATGCACCTGCACTGTGATAGTCTCAGAGGTCTGTTTAAAGCGCAGAGAGCATCATGAAGAACAAGGAACACACCAGGCAGGTCCGAGATACTGTTGTGGAGAAGTTTAAAGCCGGATTTGGATACAAAAAGATTTCCCAAGCTTTAAACATCCCAAGGAGCACTGTGCAAGCGATAATATTGAAATGGAAGGAGTATCAGACCACTGCAAATCTACCAAGACCTGGCCGTCCCTCTAAACTTTCAGCTCATACAAGGAGAAGACTGATCAGAGATGCAGCCAAGAGGCCCATGATCACTCTGGATGAACTGCAGAGATCTACAGCTGAGGTGGGAGACTCTGTCCATAGGACAACAATCAGTCGTATACTGCACAAATCTGGCCTTTATGGAAGAGTGGCAAGAAGAAAGCCATTTCTTAAAGATATCCATAAAAAGTGTCGTTTAAAGTTTGCCACAAGCCACCTGGGAGACACACCAAACATGTGGAAGAAGGTGCTCTGGTCAGATGAAACCAAAATCGAACTTTTTGGCAACAATGCAAAACGTTATGTTTGGCGTAAAAGCAACACAGCTCATCACCCTGAACACACCATCCCCACTGTCAGACATGGTGGTGGCAGCATCATGGTTTGGGGCTGCTTTTCTTCAGCAGGGACAGGGAAGGTGGTTAAAATTGATGGGAAGATGGATGGAGCCAAATACAGGACCATTCTGGATGGAAACCTGATGGAGTCTGCAAAAGACCTGAGACTGGGACTGCGATTTGTCTTCCAACAAGACAATGATCCAAAACATAAAGCAAAATCTACAATGGAATGGTTCACAAATACACATATCCAGGTGTTAGAATGGCCAAGTCAAAGTCCAGACCTGAATCCAATCGAGAATCTGTGGAAAGAACTGAAAACTGCTGTTCACAAACGCTCTCCATCCAATCTCACTGAGCTCGAGCTGTTTTGCAAGGAGGAATGGGCAAAAATTTCAGTCTCTTGATGTGCAAAACTGATAGAGACATACCCCAAGCGACTTACAGCTGTAATCGCAGCAAAAGGTGGCGCTACAAAGTATTAACTTAAGGGGGCTGAATAATTTTGCACGCCCAATTTTTCAGTTTTTTATTTGTTAAAAAAGTTTGAAATATCCAATAAATTTCGTTCCACTTCATGATTGTGTCCCACTTGTTGTTGATTCTTCACAAAAAATTAGTTTTATATCTTTATGTTTGAAGCCTGAAATGTGGCAAAAGGTCGCAAAGTTCAAGGGGGCCGAATACTTTCGCAAGGCACTGTAAATGCATCATCTCCCAGAGGAGGTTACATGTGCTTCGACTATTAGATCTGTCGGACCTTTCTACTGTATATAGTGTAAAACCTGCCAGTTACACAGTTGATGCCTGCTATAAATGCAGGCTGTGTGTTAGTGTGCCGATGTGTGTGTGTGTGTGTGTGTGTTAGTGTGTCGATGTGTGTGTGTTGCAGTGGGTCATCGGTGTATAGGTGTCAACCCTGGATCTCTGCCTCTGGACTGCAGCAGCTACTGTAATGCCAACATGCAGATGCCAAATTTCTTCACTACGCTATGTGAGGTGTCAGTTAACATTTGCTGGTCCAAGTTAATTATAGCTGCTTCACAGCAGTGAATGTCGCGAGGTTACGGTCGGTCCCCACAGCAGAAAGCAAAAAGTTTAACTTTGGTCATTCCCCCCCATCAGTCCAAGTGATTCTGACCCAAATGTCCCCCACCTTTCTCATCCACTCCTATATGAGCATACAGTACACATCAATGCTGACTTTGCAATGTGGACAGTAAACATACAATATAAATGTAGATTTTTAGGTATATGTTAAGTAAACTGATGTTTTACTTAAGATCAAGTAGTAACGTGTGAAAATAAGTAAAATATTTATTAAATTAGAAAAAATAAAGTACCAAAATTAGAGGGATCATTAGGCAGCACACAGGAGCTTAACATGGTATAATGCTGAATTACTTATTATACTGTATTACTATATTATTAATATTTTAACATGAACAGCATTTTACTATCAGCTGGTCATTTTAATTACCTCATATACTGGTGGGTAGTGTCAAACAGAACTGAGTAAATTATCTGCCAAGTAACTATAGTTGTCAGATCACTGTAGAGTAAAAAGTATAACACTGCAATCTGAAATATAGATGAGTAAAAGTAGCAGGAAAAGGAAAACCTACAGTGCTTAAAGTTGTCCTGAGAAGTCTGACTATTAATAATGGTGCTTTGTTGTCACACACCAGGATTGTGTTCTGTGCAACTGCTTTCTTTTCACCTTACAACCTTTTGTCTCCACTTTTGTGATCTCAGAAACCCCTGTAAAATTAGCAGTATGTTACAATAGTACACAAGTCACACAAAAAGGCATGACCACATAATACACAAATGACCTTTGAATCTTTACGCAGGTGGGGCTTCCATTAGCATGGCACCCGACACGAATGCTAAACATGCATACAAGCAAAGCTTATTAATGGCACACTGGATTTTCATTATTGCAAACATTTCAGTTTGTATTATTTGGCCATTTCCCACTGATTTGGTTTGCCATTGTTTTTTTTTTTATAAATGCTGGTATGTGTGTGTGTGTTCACCTGGCAAGGAAGGTTGCAGTCCATGCAGGGCCCTGCGGGGAGTGATGCCCCTGACGATACAGTCAAACAGGAAACTGATCTGCTCTCCTTCTGAACAGGACAGGAAGAAAACACCAGCCCCTGGAAGATGGAGGAGAGGCAGACAAACAGTATGTACATGGTGGATGATGCATAGCTACAATAAAGTCCAGAGATATGAGCGGGGGGGAAGCATTAATCATCAGTACAGTACGACTAGATGGCAGTGCTATAGTAAATGGTGAAATAAAAGAGTAAAACCACATTTTTGAACAAGGCCAAACAGTATTTACTGAGGTTCAGAAGGTTGCTATAAAGGCAAGGCTGCTCTTTCAGCCAGCAACAACCCTTTGTATCCAAGGTTACATAAAACTATCATTTCAGTCCCATCTCTACTATCAAGCCCACGCACAGGTGGGATGCTGTGTAAGCACAAGACAACACAATCTTACATCACAGAGATACTGAAAAGACAAATGAGTTTAAAAAAACTTAGAGGATCAGTCAAAAAAAAAAACTTTTCTTATCAAACTGAATTTTCTGCTAATAGAAAAGCAAAACAGATGAGAAAGTAGAGCAGAAGATAGCTGAACATATACCACCTGAGTGATGCCAGTCAAAGTTTCTTCTAATAATTACTAAGCAACAAAAACTAGTGTTTGATTTATGTACTAAAATATACCTCTGATTAATTTACTTTGCATTTGAAACAATTCTGAAAAAAAGTGACGAGTCGACACAACAGCATGCTGCTTCTGCAGGTCCGATGTGCTCTCCATCTAGAACTTTTAACATTTTCCTTACTTATAAGTGTGAGCAGAATCCATTAAAACTGTGGTTTCAGAGCCCAGGCTTGATATCTGAAAACAGCTTCTAGCCTGAATAATCACTGTGCACTAATCAGCAGAAACGCTTGAGCTGCTTATCGACTCACCAGCTCTGACAGCGTTTCACAACAAGAGAACTACAGTAACAGATCGTATCAGTACGAGGCTATTAGCTGATACACTGGTTCTTAATCCAAACATCTCAACTGAAGTGATTGAGAGCTTTCAGAAGTTGACAAGAACCCAAATCATGACTCAACAGGTCGCCAAGCTCAGTTTAGTGCAGTGACACATACACAAATATAATAAAATCAAATGCGATCTGTAATGTATTAGCCCACCTGATGAATGCTAAATCCAACGTTCACCCTCACTGGGTCCCTACCAAAATCTGAGGCTCTTAAGCTGCTAAATGCTCCGGTGTCTACCAGCTAGTCACCAGCTGCATCTGCCTTCTGTTCAGTGCTGGGCAGGTAGTACACAATGGGCTTATCAGAGTATTGCCACTAAAAACAGCTGTCTGCTGTAACAGTGGTGAGAGTGAACCAAAACACAGTACAGCTGTGGGCTGGAGATGCATAACAACAAGCTAAGCAAAGGTGAGGAGAACTGCAGACAATGGCCTGTGGCCTCTTTGACAGTCATTTGTTCCTTTGTCTATGTAAAGATATTGATTATAGCTACTTCAAAGTTTACAGAATGTGACAGAGTACAAATCAAAGCTATAAATGTACATGTACAGTTTTGCATAGCTTGCTGCCATTTGTGTTAGCACAGCATTGCAGAGTCAGAGCCCCATCCACATTTTATCTGGTGTGAAAAAACAAAGCTTTTATAGAGCTATGTCATGATAACCTTTTGAACATAAGAGATATACACTACCATTAGAGAGAATATCATCAGGATCTGTTGGAAGTTTTTCTATTTTTCACTTTCTCTGAGTGCTATTTTGGCAGCTATATTTTTTTTTGTTGTTGTTGTGTTATGAACACCAAGAAACCTTGTTAGACCCAGTTGTCATATTTCTCACAAATATGTTGAGTTCAGCTGCATGAAAACTCATTTTAAGAGAGATATCTTATTTTCAGACCACAAGTATTGTGGCGGTGGTTTTTCCTTTTCTACAAGATGACACATTTCTGTCTACTCTGGCCTGATGTGCATCTTATTTGTTAACACAGGAAATTTCCATCCACTACACTGCAGGCAACGTCTATTTCAGCACTAGTCATTGACGACATATACAGAAGTGAAGAGTCAGATCGATGGCTCTTTTAAGATAAACCTTTATTAGTTCCACGATGGGTAAATTCACCCCATTACAGCAGCAGTAGGATAGAAAACAGACTGTTCAGAATTAAGTATTAAACAATTGTAGCTATAATTAAAAAAGTAAGACAATATACATTGGTATACTGGTCACAGTTATTCAGTCGGTGGGTGTGAAGTAAGACAATATACATTGGTACACTGGATAGTCACAGTTATTCAGTCGGTGGGTGTGAGGTCGACTTGGGGAGGTTTACTGAAAGCAACACTGATTGTACAGCCTGACAACAGCAGGAAGGAAGGACCCGTGATAACGCTTTGTCATGCACTTGAGATGAGGCAGTCTTTCACCGACAGAGCTGCCCAGTTTCATGCATGGGGTGAGAGTCCTTCTGCAGCAGGGATGCTAACTTGGCTAACACCCTCCTGTCTCCCACCACCTGCACTGGGTCAAGGGGACTTCCCAGGACAGAGCCGGCATTCTTGACTAGTTTCTCTAGTCTTTTCCTGTCTGCAGTCGTGATGCTGCTGCCCCAGCAGCCCACTCTAGAGAAGATATAGCGGATGCCACCATTATATAACAAAATAGGACTTCAGTAGATCCTATTTTGTGATATAGTGGTGGCATCAGCTGTCCTCTGAGAATCGCTGACATTGGTTCTAGAAGTACAAAGTAAAAGACAATCTGCTCTAAACAACTGAGAATCTGGATGAATTAAATTCTGCACAATGTAATGTACAGTAGTGCAACAAAAACACACGGAAAATACCCTAACTCGTGCATCAGCATATTACTGCTCTACGGTATGAGATGTGTGTGTGCTTACACCTGAGCGACGTGGAAAAATGGACGTATTAGATTAAATTTGTTTTTATCTAGATCACAAGGCTTGACATCCACCCAAACCCTGCAGAGGATCATTTATTACTACGTCTACTGTGTGTGTGTGTGTGTGTTTGTGTGGTGTAGTAGGGTTGACATGAACACATACGAACCTGACAAGTCAGAAAACATCCATCCAGCTAAGACACAAACTGCTCCAAACAACATCATTTACAGAACACAGCAGCCTCATTATCACATCGACTGGAAGCTGGAGTACTGATATCGCCCCATGCCGAACCACACTGCTGCACAGTGTGTGCATGTGACTGTACAACAGACACCCATGAAGACCACAGCTCAACTGATTACTGCCTAATAAAAGACTCTGCACAGCAAAATGGCCCACTATGTGTGTGTCATGTCACTGTGGTGTACGACTTCAGCTCTGCAGCCAGAAGAAGCTGTAATCTTCTGCGCTGCAGCTGACTTTCAAAGCACAGCTGCAGCAGTGAGCACTGTGGCAGTGAAGGGTAAATTATTTTTATACAGCAGCATTATAGACCGAGAGACCTTGCCATCGACTTGCTGTTCAGAAAGTGTAAATTAATTAAATACTATTTAATTCTATTATAATTATTCTGCACATCTATGCACCCATAATATCTCTGTATAAACATGCAGCAGCATTTTGTATTGATCAAGCATGTCAACACATGCTATTGTTAAAAAAAACAACAACCTGGCACTCAACTCCCAGATTTTGTTTGCAGGGCTTTGCAATGTCTTAGTACGAGTCCACCAGTTCTTATGTTTTCTAATGATTTATCTGACAGTACAGACAGTTTCTCAATCACGTTTTCACTGGGGAAAATAATTCAAGGTGAGCCAATTAGTTGATATATCAATGAACAGAAAAGTAATCTAACAATTTTGATAATTGATTAATCAGTTAAGTAATATTTCTGAACAAATATGGCAAATGTCCTGGTTCCAACTTGTCAAATGTGAATATTTGTTGTTGTTTTTTTAAACCACAGCAAATATGGGTTAGCACCCAGCTGACTGCAGCATTATATGACTGCACTTCAGACCAGGCATTTTAATATACAAGCTGGAACAAATAACATTAATGGAAAGGCGCTGTGGTTAGCGTTGTCGCCTCACAGCAAGGAGGATCCAGGAAAGAGCCTGGGCTGACCCGGGGCCTTTCTGTGTGGAGTTTGCATGTTCTCTGTCTCTGCATGGGTTCTCTCCAGGTACTCCGGCTTCCTCCCACAGTCCAAAGACATGCAGCTTAGATTGACTGGCGACTCTAAATTGCCCGTAGGAGTGAGTGTGTGATTTTGTCCATGCAAGAGGCTGGTGACCTGTCCAGAGTGTAACCCGCCTCTCACCCAGTGTCAGCTGGGATTGGCTTCATCCCCCAACGACCATACTCAGGAATAAGTGATATAGATAATGGATGGATGGAAGGAAAGGAGCCACTACAGTTATTATTTACACTTGCACTTGTTTTGCGGTGGCATATGTTAACTGAGCAAAAGGCCATTATAAAAAGACTAACATAAACCAGCACTAAGGGAAACGTCTGTTTTAATGGATTTCAATATGAACGTGTTTTTGTTGTAGGCTTCTGCAACAGCTGTGCTTCCAGCTGACGCCAAACAGCAGCACAAATCACTGGTGATTAGTGAGCCAGCAGGGCTCTTCCCCCACTGACAAACAGAAAAAGAAGATCAATGCCAACAGGGATAAGTGTACTAATGAACCATACAGTATTATAGCTGGAGCAGAGTCAATCCATTTTTTAATGACTAACTCCTCAAAAACACAAAAAGAAGTAGCCACTGTTTGCTTGATTTGTATCCTGTTATCTGCAGCAAATTCACATTTAAGTCACAGAGCCGACGCACATGCTCAAGCCAATATGTTAGCCATGTTGCTCCACTTCTCTTTGGGACAGAGAGGCTACTGACTAGGGTGTGGCTCATGGACAGAGGAGGAAATGTGTCAAAGATTTTGGTGTAACAGCTGAAACAATGACTCCAACTGTTAAGCACATAACATCTGCTCCAGGGAAAACTACACAATATTCCATAAAGGTACTGTTTTAGTGTTGGCATGTGTCACATGCCATGTAAACCAGCACTCTGCTTTATTTTGCACTCATGCAAGAAATGTCACCAACTAAACCAACTCTCATGTCTCTTTTTGTCACCGTTTCTTCAGCACATGAGGAGGGCCACTCTCTACTGCCCCTGTGGCTGCTGGGTAATATGTAGATGAGAAGTGAAGGGGAAGACTGAGCCACCAGACACTGTGTTTGGCTAAATGTTCACAACAGGGGGAGACTGGTATTTATAGATGCTGTTCATCAGAACACTGAAACCAGAGACTCTGGGCCTCATGGTTATTCCTGTAGGAGCCACAAGTCTCTCACACATGCAGATAACACACAAACAGACAGAGGTTATATAAATACACACACAAACTCACAAATTCTCTTTTAACACTGAGAAAAACAAAGGACGACAGTGTTCCTGAATCAAATCAGGAACACAGCAGCTGTTTGTAATGAACACTTGAAACAGCAGACACTAACCCGAACCCTTTACTAGACATTTGTTTCTATCGACACATCTCACACATTAACATCCTTACCCAAAATCATAAAACTGCCTCTCATTCATGCCCTCATCGACCAGTCACTCAGAGGATACCTGAACCCTGGCAACCACACAAATATATAGTGTGACGAGGTCATTCTTACATGGATAACGTTACCCTATAAACACCCGCAATAAATCATAGGCTTTTCTGTCTGTCAGTGTTAAATGACAGATACAGTCCTTACAATCCTGTAATCACTAGAGAGAAACATTCAGCTAAAAGGAGATGCACTGAAAAGTGGAATTTAGTTGACTGTGCTGCAGTACTGTACATCATACAAATTAAGTTACTGGTCAAATAAGCTCAGGCTCGATTACACTGAACATCGGTTGCAGATGGTTCACTGCTTTGTCAAGGATCTTACGAGTGCCTGCAATTCCTATAGCATTTTAGCTGCAGATGTGATCCTTTACAGTACTGATGTACTGTATGTAATCCTTTTTGAACAACAACGGAGGCCTATCACACAGGCAAACCACATAATCCAAGACTGACAGCTGACAAGACATTAACCATGAGTCGAGGCAGTTCAGTCAGTTTTTAGTCTGAAGATTGCTGAAAATACCAATATATAAAATGAGCAGCCTTATCTTTGAATAACTAATGAGAAAATATACAAGAAGAGGTTAAACTGGGAATCAGCACCAATATCACATTTTGAATCATGATTCTTGAAGCTCGTGTGATAGGATCTAAAGGTCCAGAATGCAGTGAGAGTGATACTGTAGCTCTGCTGCTGTTTCCAGGCTGAACTTTGAACCTTGGTATCTAAGCCAGCATGGATTTAAACATCTACCTGACTACTGGGCAAACTCCATCATTTAATGAAGATCATGTGGCATGATAAGAGTTTTGAAGTGGGTCTGAACTCGCACAGCAGAAACAACGGTTCACCAGTTACTTACAGTATCCACAGCGAGTCCCCCCTTCGAACACAAAGCCATTTGGCACAGCACCATATCGACGTAAAGCCGACAGCTTCCAGTGACCAGTGACGACAGGAGGAAGACCTCTGGTGAGAACCAACAGGTTGTTGCACAGGTGGAGGGAGGCAGGGCCACTTTCCAGTTTAGTACCCGGTTCAACATTGATGCTGAAACTGTGGACTGAAGGACAGAAAGGAAGGGAGTGAGACCGTGTGTGTGCCGCACATTCTCCATCATAATGACTTAAGATTAAAATATCACTGATCATAAACCACATTAATGACACGACAAATAAAATATAAATCATCAGCAGATGTCGTACACACAAGTGCATGAATGCACATGTACAGTGTAAGTGATGGCTGAGAATGTCTTTAAGCTCTACTGGCTGCACATTATGCTTGGCAGTTTGTACTGATGGCTGTTATTCAGTGCCAAGGTCTGTCACTCCTCACAGCCCTACACCTACAGTACATTAATAGAGACAGGTGAATGATCATTCTTAACGCATCGGCAGCTTTTAAAAAGATTGTGACATTATAGTTGCAAGACAAGAATTAGTACATCATGTAAGAGTCTAGCACTTTCATAAAGCATCTGTTTTATGTGGAGACTTGATAGAGCAAACTCAGTGTTTCACTGTAACCTGCTCCATCTGAGCACTTCTAGGCGCAGTGTGGCTTACAGGGAGCTTTACAGTCTAAGATGTAGCTGAGGGCTACAGCATGCTTTGGGATGGTTTACTGATCTCCAGCAAGTGTTGAATCTGTGTTACACAGCATAATGAAAAGGATATAAAACAAGAGGTTACCTTGAAGGTAGGAAATCAGCACACCTTGAAAAGTTTAAACAGCAGTGTAATAGCTTAATACACTTTGCTAACAGGGCAAATTAAGGTGAACGTTTTTTCTACAGCAGCACTATAAACAGTCACATAGACTTTTGAGAGGTGCAGATGCAAGAGGAAATAGACTAATATTTTTTTCTAGATCAGTTCAAGGTGGTGGTGAATACATTTACAACTACACTCAGCTGTAGAAAGCAAAACTGCACACCACTGTGTTTCATTAGTTAAAATGAAACAGCCCTGAATTCTTAGTGGCAGGTTAAGAAGACAAAATATGGAGGCTGTAGTTTATTGGTAATAGCAACAGGGACTGAAAAGAACAGAGTTACCGTCATTACGCTGGAAGATCAGTGTCTAAAGGCACTCGTACAAACTGTCCAAGGGGAATATCAATGTGTGTGTGACATTCACATAGTGATGGAGGAACAAAATGTGCGTAGATAAAATGATTAAGAGGTAGGACGGAGCCTGCAGGTGATATTCTGAGGAAGGAATGTCAATTCAACTCACCAACTGGCTGTGAGGTGAAAGTTAAAAATCAATCTGAAGTTATTTAAATATGCTATTAAAATCATAATGGTTGAGAGAACATTTCTCAGTAAGACTACTTAAAAAGTTTGGATAGAAGTCAAAAGTTATTTTTAAGGGGAACTTTAAATGTTCAACTGAATCATTGCAAACTTATAATTGAAAGTCAGTTTTAACCAGTTGATAAAATGCCTGTGTTTAATAAGTCTTTTAACCATTTGGCAGGAGCTGAGAAGCAGTGCAGGGGATGATATGAAAGACTGGACCATCGCCTGCAGAATTCAGAGTAACAAACCCTTGAAAAAAGGTCACCTTGCCAACTGGTGTTCCAAACTGCTTATTGTGCAGAGGAAGTCTCTAAGGAACAGAGCGGAGGCGACAACAAAACACTACACTAAAAATAACCTATAACCCCATAATCCCAAGTTGCATCATCCTAAACAGCTTGCTTCAGTGTCTTAGAAAACTCTGCGCCACGCCTTATAACCTATGTAATGGCAATTCCATCGAGCACATTTCACTCATATAAAATGGGACAGGCTACATTTTCCTTTGGCACTTCATGCATGCCGATCTTAGATGCTCTTCTCCTTTTATCTTGCATTTCTCCAGTGAAAGTTAACTTGTGACATTGAGAGAGCAGATTTTGCAGATGGAGGAGGACCAGAGCAAGGGATGGCAGATAATATCTGTTCCACCTGTCATTTCTCTGATCCCCACTCACATGTGGTATCTACTGGCTGCTTCTTAAGCTTTACAAGTGAGAGTGGACTGAGCAACACACTGCTTCACATTCTGATATGCCCGGTAGCCAATCAAGTTCTAAGATAGCTAGGATATGTTTTGATGCATATGACCACTTACAGGCTTTACCATTTTAAAACATATGAAGGCCTGTGAAGGACTGGCAGTACCATCTTCTAAATGTATATTATAGCAGCCCAAGTATTTTTTTTTTTTACTTCATAGTATATGGCAAACAATACGCCATACACTTACCACAATGATACCGCTGATTCAAATAAGTCTGGAGCAGCTGCTGAGACATCTGGCTTTCCAGATTCATCCTCTGCTTGACACTTTGAAAACCAGTGAAACGTATTATACTAAAAGGTCCAGTCCCTACATGCTTTCCCCATTTGCAGTGGCTCAGTGTGGTAAACAAACCTGACTGATCAAAAGGTCTAATTCTTCACACATCACTTTCTTGAACAGCTTATCAAGATCATGACATCCACACAAGGCCAAGCCACTGACCTTCCCCTAGACTGTAGCGGATGCGGGCATCCCAGGCCAGCAGGCCGTCCCGGCTGTTGAAACCCAGGACCAGCGTGTGTGCCAGACAGAGGATGGAGAGGATGTAGGATACCCCATCATACCCGGGTCCTGGCTCCACGCCACAGATCCCCTGACGGAGCAGAGGGAATTACACAGAATTTACAGTGAATGACCACTATACTCCTTTTTACTGTAGTTTTTCAAAATCACAAGGGATTTCAATGCAATTGGTAAATTACAATTTCCGCCAAGGCAGAGATCATGTTTTTTTACAGCTTTTGTTGTCTGGTTCACAGCATAACTCAAAAAGTAACAAAAGACTTGAATTAAATTTTCCGGAGAGGGAGGATATGGCCCATGGAACAGTCCATTCAGTTTTGGTGGAATTATTTTACCATTCTTCACCATTGTGAGATAAGGCCAGTTCATAGTTTTCGGTCACATGACTGGCTCAGAGCCCCACAGGGGAGAAAACTCGTCCAACACGCCAACACTGGAGAGAACTGCAGCACGGGCCTGGTCATTTTGTAGTTATGTTCTATTCAACACCTCGTTGGTTGGAATGAAAGAGTGAATGGATCCAAGTCATACCTAAAAAAACTTTGTTTTTTATCTCAGCGCCTATGTTCTGAACCTACTCCACCGAGAGAGAGCAAGCAGTGGTGGTCGAGCAAGCTAGTGGCTGAATGAAGAGAGGGAGTGGCACCAAAGCAGTGAATCACAGAAATAAAATGTTATTTTCTGATAGTTTCACAGCTGTTATGTTCTAAAGCACAAAATAAACACAGCCGCACCTCCACACAACCCTGTGGGAAGCATTTTATGTGAAAGCACAGACTTCATCCTCCTGTCTGCCCTGCACCTTGTAGCTATAAGCCCTGCACTCGGTCAAACAGCCAGACAGCTCATTATGAGCCAAACTATCATGTGAACACTGCTTTTAGGTGTAATGGCTTTAGAGGGTAAGTGTGCTGCCTTGGCGGAGGTTTGTGCTCACCAAGTGCTGTCTAGTCTTTAAATATAATAAAACTCTTATTCTCCAAAACAAAAAAGAACCTGATTTACTTTGTTTTTTTTTTTATACCACTGCTTCAGCATCAAGTCATTTTCAGACATCTTGGTTGTTTCACTTTACACTGAAGTCATACACATCAAAATGTTGAGTGCAAGAGCTCTTTTACACTGTGGGCATAGCTGGCATTCAGCATAACACAACTTGTCCATGTGGCACTGGCCTTATTTAGTTCACCCCCTGTACATGTGACACCAACCTCAGGACAGCAATAGAAAGGCTGAAGAATGCAGCACCCCCACAAAGCTGTAAAAACATGCCACCAGCTGCATTAGAGCACAAAAGCACAGAGGCTTCGGTCTGTTGCAGAGCTGAACGTACCTCCAGTGTTACATTGAGCCTCTCCTTGTTGCCGCTGGCTTTCTCCTTCCCTTTCTTCTTCTCTTTGTACACCAGCAGAGACAGGCAGTCTGAGGCAGTCAAGTCAGACACGTACACAGAGTGATGAGCCTTAAAGACTGACAGGCTTAAAAGTAATTTAATAACAGAAAGCTAAATGACTGCAGTGTCACTTTTCTTGTAATCCTGCTGTGTGCCTTCCTGTGTTAACGACACAGCTGTCATAACAAACCCTCAAACAATGAACTGATCCACTAGCACAGCTGATGATGAAACTCAAGCCACAAATACACACACACACACACACACACACACACACACACACACTAAATAAATAGAGTAGCCTATCTCCAGCACACAGCAGCAGCCTACTGAGCCATACATTATCTGTATGTATGCTGAAAGGCTCAGTGTCTGTCCTCACAGCATGTCAGGTGGGCCTATTCTGTTTTAGGATATGCAGCTTTCTTATTATGCCAAACGTGCACAGACCAATCTCTGATAGACTATGACAGTATCACAGTTTATGGTTTTGGTTGGAAGGCTTTCAAATAATTAACATTAGACCCAACTGACATTAAACCCACGCAGGATTTATATCCTGACACTTAATTTGAGGAGGGCAGCCAGCACTTGTACTTGTCTGCACTATTTAAATGTGATATTGGTCGATTAAATAATCTCACTCGATCAGTTCCACTGATGCGCTGCGTGACGGCACCCACCCCCACCCCACGTGTTAACGCGGGTACGTTACGCGTTCCCGTTGCGCACAGCCAAGGGATCAATTGGTAAGAAGTGATTAATTTAACTGCAGAAAATGAGATGAGATTAGTGCTGACTGATGGGGTGGATGATTGCGTAGCAGTGAATATGTGTAACACTGACTAGGAACGAGCTGATTATAAAGAGACGTTTGCCACATACCTGCGACCGGAGAAGGCTTCCTCAGTACGACCCACCGAGTCTTCCACTGTGAAGTTTGTAAAGAAACAATAACTCACAAAGTATATTCCTCTGGTTCGCGGAAGTAAAACATATTTCAAAGACAACGGGTGGTATTAACCTTTTTTCCTTCTCTAAACTTGACTTGTCCCTCCGCGACAACTGGATCCGTCATCTTCTGTCATGGTTCCGAACAACTCTGTGTGTGTGTGTGTGTGTGTGTGTGTGTGTTGTACCCCGCCTCTCCCCCAGTTCACAGAAAGGGACAGGGTCCGTTCTCAATATAGCTTTTACAGCCCAGGCCCCTCTGGCACACTGCATCCTCCCCCTCTCCCCGACAGTCAGACCACCGAGTCGGGCACAGACGCCATCCCCCGTGGGGCCCTGCCAACTTCACATCCCGTGTCAAGTGCACCTTGTTTACAACGGAGATAATTCGATTAAAACCGCACAGCTGTCGTGGCTTTCACTTAACTCATGCCACTGACTCTGAGCCGGGTGTTACACGGGGATTCATGCTGGTGAGTGGAGCCTCAGGTGTGTGTGGAAATCCATCTTAACCTGTAATCATGAGAACTGAGAATAATGCCAGTTAGTAGATTCAAAACGAGCTAATTACCTTTAAATCCCCAGTACACGAACGATTATACGAGATTACTATTTAAGAAAATACTTTATTATAAGATCATAAAAATGGACATTACAGGCAGCACTTGAAGAGAAAAGGGGACACAACAGTCCTGCTGCTTTTATTGGATGTATGATTCACTGACTGCTGCCTCTCAGCAATAAGGCCCAGGGTAAAGTGACATAGGTTTGACTCAGAGTTAGATGTATTGTGGCCTATTAGTCCATTCTTGGAGGCACAGCTGCGTTGAATTAACTAGCCAGTAGGTGAGTCAGGACACAGGACAACACTTGTCTCACTTAGTCTTTGCTTTACTGCATTCTTTTAAAAAGAGGAGGTGGAGAATTAGGCCCACCTACAACACCTGAACTCCTTTTTTAAGGTGGTGCCTCCGATAGTTTCCTATGGTTCCCTCAGTGTTTGCATTTAATGTTAACCCCGATTGTGGTCATGTTAAGCAGTTTTTAAATAACTTAAACTTACTTTAATACTGCTATAGTTTCTGTTGTTATTTTGCTGCCCACCACAGATTTTACATACAAAGATCAGTTTAATTTGTCCTGGTTAGTGCTACTCAGATTGTGAAAAAACTGTTGAGTCACTTTGTCTAATCTGAGAAAATAATTCTCATAATGTCACCAGGATCCTTTTTTTAACAGAAAGACTGGGGATGTGGTGTTTCCTAGACAGAGGAGGTCTAACAGAAGACTGTGAAATTGCATTATGAGAAATGTAGCCCCCGTGACCCCGTTCGGGACTCAGTGGTGTAGAAATGTAGCATCCAGTGTTTTAAAAGCTTGGCTCATACTGATGACTGAGAATAATATTGTTTCCACTTCCACTGCTTCATAGTTCCCAGACAAAAGTTCCCTGACTTTATGGAAGTGCAATAGGAAATTGCTGCACTGCCCCTTTAAAACACTGATGTTATATATTCATCTCTATTTATCAGCATGGGCAACCCAGGTAGTGATCGAGAAGGTATTGCTAAGTTAGTACAATGCTCTGTCCCAATTGCATACTACATTCTCTTTGCATACTGTATGTACATGTTGTAAATACCTTTACAGTTAGCATTCTAGAAAAAAACATTTACTTTATGAGGTAAGATATGAACTGATAGATATCAGTGAAACTGTGATTTAGGAATTTTTCTAAAGATTTACTAATACTTCTTTAGTTTGTTTTGGTTTCTGAAGTGTTCCTGGAGATGTTTCACCACCAACCACAACATGTTTGAATGTTTTTTCACAGTTCAGCAGCTTCTCCTTGTCCTCTGTGTACATCTGTGTACATTAGCATCTCATTCCAAACATGTTTCATTCTGCATTCTTTGTTAAAGTAGCAATACCACAATAATTACTCCAAATTACTTATCTGCTTATCTTATTATTGTAACCAGGTGGCAGATAAATGTAGTGAAGTTAATTAAATGTACTTGAGTAGAAGTATTAAACTGTATTTACAGTACTTGAGTAAATGCACTTCCACCACTACACAGTACATGCTGAGACTAAGTGTCGTATGGAATTTGGACACAGTTTGATTAGTCTCTGCCTGCCAAGTCTGAATAGCTGCCCTCAGCAGGGAGTTTGGGAGCAACTTCACAGTTGTTGACACTGCACCCTTTGCCTCAGCGCTAAACCCGGACCATGCTTCAGCTGCTGCAGGGACCATTAGTGTGGTCAGAGTCACAGAGACAAGACAGACTGTGAGTCAACGAAACATCAGGCTCCTCAAACAAATGTTGCTTTCACTTTACTGCGGCCTGTCTGCCCTTTGCCCTCTCTCTGCTCCGGCTGTCTCTTGGTTTTGACCATGGAGGGCAAGTCTGAAGTCTGGTACACTGCCGACCTCATCCTGCTGCCACGGCAACGCAGCTCCCAAGCCACGCCCTCCCACTTCCTGTCCATCTCCGAGCTATGAGATTGCCGGAGTTCTCGGGGCCCTCTGTGGGTTTGACTGGTGTCTTCTGGGTCAGAGGTGGCTTCAATTTTATCCAGATCCAGTGCTCGTTTTGTGTGGTTGGGTCGGGACGAAGGTGACTTGGATTTGCGACCTGACCGAAGAGGAGGCCGGGGTGGAGGTGGTGGAGGCGGAGGAGGGGGAGATGGCAAGGGATGAATGGGGTTGGAAGATGAAGTAGTTCTGCTGGGCATTTTGAACCCTCCTCCTCTTTCCTTCCCTCTCCATCTGTCTCTGTTTTTAGCTGGGGAACAAGAGACTGTTTTAAACTGAGAGATGGTGGAGGAGACAGATGGAGCAGACAAAAGACTCCCAGCCACTGCACACAACCCACATGCAACACAGGCAAGGAGCACTCACAGAAAAAAACAAAAGAGAAGCAGCAGTGAGGAATAAAGTAAAAACAAAAATAAGAAACTGGCACAATGTGAACCCAAGCTAGAAGATATCTCTATCCCTCTGTAAGTTTGTGTGTATGTGAAGAAGAGAATGAGAAATTAAGAACATTATTCACATCCTGTGAGTGACTGTTCACAGTCCCCTTCACAATACAGACTGCTGCCATCTACAGGCTGAGAGAACAAGAGACGCCGACAGCGACCGCTGGTTTGCTCACTCTGTTGTCTTGTGATGGTTATGTAACTTGGCCTTGAGATGTCTTGCTTCATGTTGTTATCTCAGTTTACTTTTAAATAGCTTTATTTTGCTTCTTAAATGTAAGTAAATGGATTTAAAGAGCAGGTGCTTTCCACAGCAGACATTTTGACAGCACAGGTGTCATTCATAATGAAAATGGTAACTTAGAATTAGTTAGTCATTACAGTTGCACCTGTGCTTCTCCTGCTGTGACAAGTTAAAACGTCTGCTGTGACAAATGCTTGTCTCAAACAAACAGTGAATGATGGAAATTGAGAGGCAGAGATAAAATACTTGTTCTCATTTCTGTTTTTAGCCATTTGGCTCAGACATTCATGACATTTCCATCTGCTCTACTTTACTATATAATATTAACATGCTTACACCTTGAATTAAGATAGTGAACATGGTAGCATTGTAATTGTGAGCTTGCTAGCATTTAGCCTTGTTGTGCCCAAGTTGAGCCTCACAGCTACATACAGTATGGACACCTACATGTTTGGTCCAAGTCTGGTGGATATATAGTAGATACAGTACCGTGTAATGCAGTATATTATGATGGATTATGTAGAAATACTGCTACTTGACTATTAAATTAGCTGATTTAGCATTGTATTCTTTTTTAAAGGATCTAAATTAATGCAACATGTCATATTCTACCTCCACATACATTTCCAATTAAGATTAACATTTTATAGGGTGATTCAGAATAGTTACAGAAAACACCATTTTTATGATGGAGCACATGACTTTAAAATTACATTATAAATAGTCAGTGTCATACAAAATGTGCATGTGCAGAGATTTAAGTTCTGCATGATATCACTCTAAATACTAATGCCTAATGTAAACATACCTTTATCTTATCCCTTGCTTTTTCAGCTTTGGATCCAACCTTTCAATGCATTTGCAGCCCTTTGTCCTTTGCTCTTTATACTGTCTTCAATTCTCTCTCTTCTCGGCGCTGTTTAATACAGTGCTAACCTAGTGCTGGTCTCCCTCTTTACAGTGCAAAAACAATAATGATCTCATTAAATATTTCACTACACTACATGATGATCTTCTGTTTGTACCAAACATTTAGTATGGAGATGTTTAAAGCCTCTGTATCTGCCTAGTGAACTAGCCAGATCCATGTAGCATATTGTTTAGCATGTTATGTTTGGAGAGGCCAACATGTAAAGTTAACATATAGAGTCTACAAACATTTAATAAAGCATCTTGGACCCCAAAACAACAGAAGACTCTAAAGGGGTGTGGCTGAGAAAGCCAGTGAGTAGTACTGAACCAAAATCAACTGACTGGAAGAAGTCCAGTCTTTAAAACGGGTGCTTCATTTTCCCACCAAAATCAACTGACTGGAATAAGTCTTTAAAACGGGTGCTTCATTTTCCTGGTGGTCAGCCTACATAAAAGATACAATCATTTCTAACATAATGGATAGTTTACTCCATTGCAAAGGCATTAAATGGGCACCCATTTTTGGACTGCAGTGTGTATGACTCAGGAGCACTTTCCCACATTTCTCCACCCTAAGGGCACCCATACAACACCTCCATCTCACCCCATTACAATGGCAATTCACAGGGCACTTCATCATGTTTCCTCACTTGTGAGGGTCCTTCACAGGGTCTGTCCCATTTTCTTCCACTGAAAAGGCACCCATGAGGGCACTTTATTCCAGACTGACACATACAGGGGCACTTCATCCTGACCTACTCATGACTAAGACACCCACCACAGACCTATGCTACAGTATGCTTTCTCCTTTCTGTAGCTAATATAGAGAGCATCTTATCAAGTTTGCTCTTTGCGGATTATAGGGCCAGTTACTTGTAGAGATTCTGGTGTGTTATGCTATTAGCAGTTAATGTAGCCTTGAACCACAAGCCTTAAGCAGAGTGGGCTACAGTGGTCCACACTCCCACATTTGTTCATTTTCAGAGTCTTTATACAACAATACTTGAGGCAATTAACCAAACTGTGGATGTCCTTGTGGAGCAACAAAAACCTGAAGTACTCCCCAAGACGTGCACAAAGAATCTGATGTGGAAAATCATTGGACTTCCCCCTTTCTGTCCCTGCACACCTCTGGTCCACCTACATAGGTGGTGCCACTTACTGACAGAACAGACCTCTTCTCAGGAATGTGCAGGCATGTGTGCACACTGTGCTTGGCTATCATCTCCCTGACACCGCTTTAGTTAGGCCTCCTGTACCTGTTAGGAGGATGCAAATTACAGTTTCCATTTTTATTAGAACAGGTATTTTGTGATATCAGATGATACTCAGCATAGCTCTGCCCAACTTCAACCCAAGCAGGACTCTAGTCAGCCAGATCAGTGATACACCTACAGTATGTGGCTGTGCAGAATCGTTATACCATAAAAGTGTAACTGTAGACTGCTGTGTAGTTCCTACTCTTCCAAAATACAAATAAATACAATACTTCAAATGAATGTTTTCAGATGCACTAAAGCACGTGCAAGTACATGGTCCAGTACTCAGTCCAGTAACTGGAGTACATCTGTTAGGGACATAAACCAGTGTGCTCCAGTTTGCTCTATAGCTCAGTCATAACAGGGGAAATTCTCTTTTCTGTCTCCCAGGCCTCCACTCCGTTCCTCTCTGCCTCTGCCTACCACGTCTTTAGTTTCTCTTCTCACCAGCAGATGGGGCTCCTTGAGATGAGACGCTAAAATATGCTGACGCACTGGGAGGCAATTATTTTGTTGGCTGGTGGAAATGGGCAATGATCCCAACAAAAGCCAGTGAATTGAGACACAGAGCCAAAACTGTTTTCGTATAACAGCTTTTGTGGATGAGGTTTTCCCATGCAATTACTGCAAAAGTAAGATAACTCACTGAAGCATGAAAATCAAAATCACACCCAGAGATTGTTTACTTTGGAGAAATCTCAGCACTTCCTTCATATTTAAATTATGATTTTGAACAAAATTTCACAGGACTTATGTATGACTAAACTTATTTAATGTCCCCATAAAGTTCTTTTGTAATCACCATCTGATAAATCCACAATACTACAAAGGGCTTGAGTATATACAGATATAGATCCTTTTTGTTTGTTAGTTTGTCATTTCCTATCTGTTTCCCCTGTGACGGCCAGTCTTTTGGTAAAACTTAAAACCCACACCCACTCAGACATCACTCAGAGAGTTTTTGGTGCTTGTGTAAGTGACGGGGGGAGAAAGTGGAACAAGCAAAATTATTTCTCTCTCTCTCACTGTTTCTGTACAGATATGATTTGGTTAATTATATGCACCGTTAAATACAATGTGTTGCTGCTGTCATCACATGTCAGTCGCAGAGGAAATGCAAACACAACAAACAACACTGGAGAATTATTCTGATGAAAATGGTTACAAAATAAAATCATCATGTGATGCAAAACACAAACACACAGATGAAGAAGCCCTGTGTTTGTATGCAAGCAAACGTGTGAAAGAGAAAAGGTACCTGTGTGTGTGTGTGCATATATATGAGGATGAAATAGAATCTAGTTCTGTATGTGAGCTACCGAAGAGTCCAGCATGACAAAGTTTGCCTAACAAGGCCTTGAGTAGAGGAGAACCCATGCATAACTAATAGCCTAGCTCCCCCCAAGCGCTTTTGTACTGAGAAACAAAAACCCTGTCCTGCACACACACACACACACACACACACACACACACACGCACACAGAAGATAGAGCAGAGAGAGGAGAGGAATATCAAGTAAGATAAAGGGGAGAGAGGATGTACAGATGGAGTGAGGTGGACAAAGGTCAAAAACAAAAGAAAAATAAACTGGAGAAATGTCTCTGGTTTTCTTAGGTTCTTAACATTTCAGCTAAGGTGGCAATTGATCCGAAGTCTAAAATCTGGGTCTGATAACCTGAGATAATAGCAATGTTAGCTAGGACGGTTGTTCACAGTGGTGGAACAAGTATTCGGATCCTTTACTTATGCAGCAACTTAAACAACAATATAAAATACATGTAATAGCGAAGCTGATTTCAACTGTACTGTTGGTTAATGTAATCTGTTACTAACTGAAGGCATCAGATAAATCTAGTGGAGTAACACGTACATATCTCATTCTGAAATATCATGGAGTGTAGGGGGCAGACATAAAAGTACTTCAAATGTATGTAAGTACAGTGCTAGCTGCCATCTGTGCCTCTCATGTGTTAACCATTACATTCAAGTTACAGAGCTTCCCAAGATATCACGAAAATCAATCAAGACAAAATCATACACTGATATATATTGGTTCATGTTGGACAAATGTACAAGGAGATAGGTCATTTCTGTTTCTTAGATTGTGATTAGGAAAAAGATAGCCACCTAGCGAACCAGTGTTAAGTGTTGCTAAATGACCTTCTGAGTTTTCATTCTGGTTATTTTTGTACAGTCGGACTCATTTCTTAGTGACTCAAACAGTGACAACACATGAAAGGCATAGTACAACAGAGTACTGGAGTAAATGTGTTTAGTTACATTTCACCACTCATTAATCCTCTTTTAACCTCAGAGGAAACTGCATCTAAACACTAATCCCAGTTCAGAGAGAGCGAGGACAAACGTGAGGCGTGCACACTCCTGACACACAAAGTGAGGAGAAGAGAATCAATCAGATATCAGAGAGTCTGAGAACAGAAAGGAGGCCGCTCACACGAGACTCTGCAGAGTTCAACCTCTAAAACATTTATTTTTCTATGTACAGACAATACAGTCAACTGAACAGAACAGAGAAGTGATTTCTATTGTGACAAGTGAAGAAACAGCGTGGATGCACTGCAATTCAACAATGGCTACAGCAATATGGTGGTTTCAAACGGTGGAGTATATACAAATTAATACTTTTAACTGATGTTAAAATGAAAAGCATGTGAGATAAATTAAGGTTTTCTTGAGAATATAGTCCAGGATTAAGTAACAATAAAACCCTTTAAAAATTGAAACGATTTGACTTCATAGTCCAATTTTTCCAGCTAAGACCCCACAGGGACAGACACTTAGGAACACTGCTGAATTGCTACACTGTAAAAAGAAAAGAAAAGAAAACAAACAAAACAGATGCAGCTCTGTGATGTAGTGTAGAGTAGTAAAACAAAGATGGTAAAAAGAAAACTGATCATGTCTGCTCGGTGCCAAAGTTTCATTTGGTCACAGCGTGAGACTGCGAGCTTGTGAAGTCGCTATAGTCTTAGTTTTCACAGGAGACACAGGAAGTGCCTGAGGAAAGAGAACAGTGGTGGAAACAGAGTGTACTGTGCTCGAGATGATAAAGAACAGCTGAACAAACATGTGCATTCGTGGCGCTGTAGCATACATATATTTGTATTTAACACGTGATCCGACAAAAACCGCTCTGGCAACTCCAGCAAAACAGACATTCTGAGGTTAAAGAAAGCAGGGAGAGAAAATGATTTGTAAAAATAAGTAAAGATGTGTTAAGTCTTGTTTGTAATTGGCTAAAGTGCATTTGTTAGACTGTGTACACTAGGTCGGGTGGGGAGTTCCTGGAGGACGGAGTTGGCGCTGGCATCACTCATTCCGAGCTCATCCTCAAACTTGTGTCTCCAAAGAAAAATCCACAGCAAGTCCATTCAGAAGTTCACAGATACACACCATGCAACCAAATGACAAGTTCTGTCTGAGCCCAGTGCATCTATTTTCCTCCCTTCATATGCCGGACCTATTTTAGTATACGGCTGTTGTTGACTTACAGCAGATGCTGGCCTGAAGGTGGCGCACACATCACATTAGTTTGGCTAAATGAACCCTTATTTGATTGTATGTGATAAAAGTCCCAGTTTTCTGTGTCCTTATGTTAGTTACTGTATTTTCACCTGTAAATCTGGGATTAAATGTTGCAGTGATTGTCTTTAGACTACAGAATGTCATGTACCACTAAGCTGAATGAAGGAAGCGAGGAGATCTGGATGCATTCTGGGCCAGTGAGGAACTTCACACTGACTTTAGCGGGAGTCCAGTCCCGCTCACAGCCAGCTGAAGGAAAAAAGGTGAAAGTTCACAAGTTTCAGAGAGTTCACACGGGGGAAGTACCTGAGCTAGGCTGACCGTCCTGTGCATGTTGTTGGGCTTGGCGGTGGGGTTTGCATGGTAGGGCTGAGGGAGTGACGTAGTTGAGGCTGGGGCTATTAATGTCCCCCTCTCCTATTAGAGTCAGATCAGACAGGCTGTCCTCCTCCAGCATCTGCACAGATTCTCCCCTGCCACGATCCTGGAGGAGACCATGCTGGGCGCCTTGGGATGGGTGGATGGGGGAGATGGTGTCAGGAAATGGAGGAGGTGCTCTGGGTCTCCTCCCACCCCTGTTCTCAGTGCCAAGCGCAGAGTCCAAGCTCTGGGACTGATGACTCGCGCTGAGCAAGTAGCTGCCTCCTCCCCTGTCGGTGCTGTTCGCCTTATTGCCCCGGCGACCGCTGCCGTCACTGGGGTTAAAGGAATTGGGGGTGGAGCAACTATGCTGAGTGTCGTATGGAAGAAGCGCAGCCTGGTCGGTTGCCACTGGCGACAGGCGTAGAAAGTCTGGGAGCTGCAGGTTGCTTTTGTTTAGCAGGCCTCGCTGGTCGTCTGCTCGGTTGCTCTGAGCTTTGTATATGAGGTCGAAGAACTCTGTAGGCACGAGCACACAAACACACACACACACACACACACAAGAGAAACGTGTACATACACGCATTTGCACACACATACACCCAAATAAGTAATTACCCAAAATCACATCTTGAAAAACAGTGAAACACTTTCATTGTAATTCAGAAAACATGCAGCAGAGGGTGTGTATTAATCAGTTAGACAAGTCAAAGCTACATTCAGTGTGAGTAGGGGTGACTGTGCTACTTCTAGCTAGCTTTGAAAGCACTTGATGCTGCTTCTGCAATACTGCAGACAGGCAAAAGGTTAGTGTGTTCACAGCAATAGCTACAGAAACTAGAGAGAGAGGGAGGTTGATCAGTCTTTACCTTCAGCTTCAGCTATATTAATCTTTTTCTGCTTTCTCTTCTCTGGAGCCTTATGGAGAGAGACAGAGTGGTTGGGTAAGGGCTGGCTGCTTGTGTCAGGGCTGGGCCCAGCCTTCCCGTTTTCCCCATGGGGGTGGGCTGGACCGGTTTTCCCTGATGGCCTGTCCTCCCCCTGGGGGCCACAAGGAGAGCGGAGCGGGGCATTAGAGCCCTGATGACTCATGGTGGTGCATGTATGGGCACAAGTAATGACAACACTGATGCTACTGATGGTGAGGAGGGTGGCAAATTATAAATAAGAATTGATGGGGAGATGTAGAGGGGCACAAGAGAGCTGTTTTAATGGGCTGTTTGATCCCATTTTAATGGGATCAAAACAAATATGCTATGAAATTGTATATAATTAGGTTTTAAAAATGTTTGGGTTTCTTGAAATAATTACACTACAACATATAATTTATAAATTAAAAGAGAGGAAGGATGTACCAGTCAGAGAACCACAATGTCCGACACTGTGTGTACGAAGCATCACCAACATGTAGGCTAACAACACACACCACCACACCAGATGGACCAACTTTCTACTAATAAAAGTTGCACTACTGCTGCTGAGGTGAAAAAAGGCTGGTTTAAACAAAAGATTCTTCCAGAATCAACCAAGGAATCAATAAATGACCATTCCTGGTGGTCTTTAATAACAAGAAAACCCCAATAGCAATCTACAGTGCTACTGCCACCACCAGCTACATCCCTAGAAGGAGCCGCTGTGACACAGCCAGTGCTGCGAGCCTTGGGCGTATATATCACCTGGCCAGAGGGGATGTTATGGAAGAGAGAGAACCAGCAAACCAGAGAGGAAGGCATACAATGCTTTCGGCCACAGGCAGACCACGACATCTTGACTATCGGCCCCACAGCAACAGTGCACATAAATACAGTCACACACACAGCCCGATCACTGCACAAGACACACAGTGCACCTGTGCACCTTTAAAACACAGTGCAAAAAGACACTTAGTAGCGTGACACTGTCAGTTATGACGTGAAAACATTTGGTGAGTTATAGAACATTCCAAAGCAGGAAGAAAATGGGATTTGAGGAGTCTTACTGTTGTTGACTGGTTTCTGTTTGCTGAGGCTGGGCCGTGACTCTTAGAGGGAGCTCCTTTCTGTTTGTCTGCTGAAGGAAAGACATGAGCACATTTTGAGACGCTGATACAAAAAGGATCATAAATTAGACAGCAAAGCAAACACAGTGACTATGTTCATCACGCAGACAATGAGACACACCAGCCAGTATTTGTTAATGACAGAAAGTGCATGTGTTGCTTACCTTTTCCAAGACTATGTTCTGCTATATCCAGCACCACTCGCAACCCATCCAGATTGGAAATAGGAAGACCTAGATCTAAAGGCTCTGACTCCCCACTCTGCATCAGACAGACACACACATATTTGATAAGTGTTTGAGCTCATCCACTGCCTGTCTATTTCTGTTATCTACAGGCAGCCGGGACGAGGGGGACTTACGATGTGTGCCACCAAGTCAGAGAGGTGCAGGCCATATTTGGCAACCACAGGCCTGAGGACTTCAGTCACAGGCTTGGTGGGTTTAGCTTTTAAGCCCACAGAACGGTTAATAGGAACCAAGTCGAGTCTGGAGAAATGGACAGAATGAAAGTTTTCTGTGGAAACGACACCAGTGACCCACTGAAAGCTTATTCTGATATTTCATAATGGACAGAATAAAAGAACTGTTCATGACTGTAAGTTACTGTACCTGAAGAGAGTGCGCTTTTCTAGTCGGAGGTCCCGAGAGCACAATGTCATACAGTCTTGGTCCAAAACTAGTGGCTAAGAGAGAAGCAAAATCGATTTGTTGTGAAAAATGTCCACCTGCAGAAGTTACACAACCTTCATACCACTGAGTCCCAGTGGCACAGCTACACAATACCTTTGAGTTGAAAAGAATCAAAAAGGACAAAACAGCAACAATTACTGCTCAGACCTCTGCCTGATATGAAATGCTTCTTTCTGGGTAGTTACAATCATCAGTCATCAAAGCTGCATTAAAACAGTTTTTAGCCACTTGGGGGCAGAACTCAACAAGCTCATATAAAACTGAAGATCAGACACATCTGACATCTTGTGCCTCATAAAGTCGATATGACTACTGTGTTATTGTCTGTCTGAGCTGCAAGAGGGAACCCAAACAATAACCATAAACCAAAGCAATGACCTAAAAGACACTAAGGGCCAATTCATGCACTTTGCATACTGTCGCCCAGACAACCTTCTGTATGGCGATGTTCTGGTACATGTGTTGTCAGGGTTTTTTTGTTGAGTGAACCGTCTGCATGGACACAAACGTTTGACCTGAGCACGGAAATCTGGACAGAGTCCGCCCTGACCCTCACAAACCTGGAAGATTTGCGTCACCGGAACGTAGCAAATGCAAGGATGCAGAAAGCATGAATTGACCTTAGAGGCTCCACACAACTTAAGGGAGCTGCAGAGTCAGGTGATCATTCACATCAGGTTGTTATATGACCCACTGTTCATTAAAAAATGATCATTGTAGGTATAAACCCTTATTAACAGATATTGTGAAGCAAGCAAAATGATCCAGATAATCTTGTTGTTTGAAGGCAAAATCTAGACATTGCTGGTGTTATACCTTCTCCCCTCCGACCAGGAAGAGGTCAACAGCTGCCAGGTTAATGCAGAGCCTCTCACAGAGGCCCAGCAGCAGATCCCTGATGGACAGCCCGGCCCTCAGTGGCACAGAGCAACATGAGCCGTCCGGCAAGCTTATGTTACACTGCCTCAAGGGGGCGCTGCTCCCTCCTCGCTCTGTTGACGCTGAGCCATGGGAAACATCACCCTGGAGGAAGAGAGCAGAGACAGAGCCAGGGGAAGGGGAGAGGAGATAAGAATGTGAGGGGAGGGTGAAAACAAGAGAAACAACAGAGAAGGGTGGGTCAAGCAGAGGAAAAATGATTTGTCTGTGGAGTTATACTTAAAGCAGATGAATTAAATCAACCGAGAGGAGCAGGGTGAAGATACAGCTGCTCCATGCTGACATGAACATCCCAGTGCCCGTTACTGTCGTGTCTAAACCGATTATCTGTTGATGTGTCTTTCCATACTGACCTCGTTCCTCCCTGACCCTGATGTCCCCAGCTCCAGACTGGCTCCTGAAGACAGTGAACCCTGGGACTCACGGCGACCGTTGCTGCCAGTGAAATCTGACATAAATAAAAATAATACACTTTTCATTAGTGTCTAAAAGAAAAACTAGATCCAAGAGTCTATATCCAACAAATAGTATGGAAAACTGTACAAACAGTGGTTAAGCAGTTTGGTTTTTGAATTACAGGATATGGTAGATTTGACACATTCAGTACAATTGTCCTTATAATTTTATCTTCCTCCAAACCTATGAAGACAGGCTATACAACAGTTAAAGAAATAAAACATCATTTTACAATACAATGCAAACCAATACAATGACTCCATAAATGTCCATAAACCAACAAATGAAAATCTGATCTTTTTGATTTGTATATTGTACTATTCAATATTGCAGGACGTCTTCCAATAGGGGTCTAAAATTTAGTAAAGCAGTTTAAAAATTGTTTTATTTGAAATGTCAGTCTATAGGGCCACAGCGGTTGGTTAGTTTTCAGAGGAAACCACAGTTACATGAACTGCAAATGTTGTTTATCCGTCTTATCAGACCTGTTAATTTTTGCTCATTCTCAGAGCCTTTCTGTTTAGAATTAAACCACTTACTGTAGTTAAAGTCAGCCAGCTCTCGTTTCTTTGGGCCTTTTCCGAAGCTCCTGTTGCGGGACCAGGAGAAGAACATGCCTTTCCTTCGGTCTCCAGAGTCGTCCCGACTGTCCTCGTTCAGAGATCGTCCGGATTTGCTCTTTTTGTCCTCCTATAAGACACCAACAAAGTTGATGAAGAAGAAATGAAGATGCTGTTCTATTTACTCACACCCCAAAACATCTCTGTTCCACTATATGAACAGACAAAATTCAAAATAGGTAGGTTAGGTTTTTATAAGATTAACTTTAGACAAAATACAAAAATCTCAAAAGCATTTCTATGCTTTTCATCCCACTAAAGATCCTGGATATTTTATTTTGGTGTAGAGAACAGCATTACTTACCTTTTTCCCAAATCTTTGTGGCCTTTTTCATTATGGTTCTTTACATCCTGACACCAATCTTAAAATTTGTGGCAAGGCTCAGAAAAGCAGAAGGCTTTGTGGTGTGTTACCTTCTTGGGTGTGGACAGGTTGGAGCGGTCAGAGCCAGTGGTGCTGTGTTTGGAGGTGGGGCTGCTGGGGACGTGGTGAGGGTCAGGCAGGGGCCTGCCCTCCACCTCTGCTAGCATACACTCCTGATACAGCAGAGACTTGAGGAACCGTGTGTAGCTGTCAAACTTCATCAAGTTGAAGATCTGAAAGGGTGAAAAGGAAGAGTAATCGGTGGGCAAATGAAAAGACAGGAAGGAAGGCACACAATCACACAAAAATGAAGAGGAGAAAGGACAAAACACGAGGAAAACTGAAGGAAGGCAGGTAGAGAGGATGAAAAACAAGCAATGGCAAAAGAATTGAAGAATGCAAGGACAATCAATAAATATAAGAAGAATAGATAAAGTAACGAAGACAGGAGGAGTAGTAGATAGGATTAGAAAATGAAGCTAAATAAATCTAAAACAAGTGAAGAAAAGACTGGAAGGGAAAAAAAGATGTTTGTATATGGCGAAAGTACATGGGAGAATGATAAAATGAAAGTATTATCCCAGTAGCAGCCTCTTAAAGTTGTTTATATTAACAGATGACTACAGAGTTAATGAGAATTGTATTTTCTTGGAGCTCTAAAATAAAACATCCACAGGACAGTGCTAAAGAACAAGGCCCTGGGAATATGAAAATTTAATGTGTTCTGTTAACTGCACTGCAATCCGGCTCTCAGACTGTGACATTCTTGTTTAAAAATGTTGCTACAAGCAGAAAGGAGTGAGTATGCATGTGTATATCTGACTCAAAATCTTGAGTATACACCATTTGATTCTGGCAACCAAAGGGGTATTTTGCAAATGCTCATGACAGGCTTTGGGTGTGTGTGTCTTTGGGAGAAAGTATGTGGATGTCTCATGTGGAAAAACAAAGGGTGATGTTCAGGATGTCCCTCTAAACTTGTGACTTATCAGCAAAGCATTTGTTTGTGCTTCGATGTTAAAATCAATAGAGCTTTTCAGCAGCTTTCACCCCTCTGAAACATGCACATCTAAGAAGCGTTCACATCCATGATGCTAGACAGCAGGCTGAAATGAACAGTTTACTGTACCACATGTTGTATAAGCTCTCAGTGCTAGATATACTAACACTGTCAACAGGGGTCTGTTTTGATTCAGTTCTATGAGTAATAACATGCCCTCCAGGGGAAGCCTCTTCACTTCCCCCGCACGAAGAAAGGCAGGGGACAGTGTCATCGAAGTACAACCTCTGTTTGACAGCAGTGACTCTCATCACCTTGTGCTTGTGGTAGATGTGTGTGTGTTTGGTGCAGATGCTACCTGCAGTTGCTGCACCTTGAACATGTCAGGCCGGGGGGCATTGAGGATGTCGTCAGCAAGCTGAGCTTGACTATCTATGTTGACTGGCGTTGTGGCTTTACTGGACAGGAAGCTGTTGTAGATCTCCCTGGCACGCTGAGATAGCTGGAGAAGGTAGACAGGTCATGTAAGATGAGTGGTACAGGGGGACAGGTCAGGGCGGTGGTAAAAAGACAAGGTGCTAAGAGGTGATAATATGAAGCATGAAGTGAGCTGATAAGTGCTGTTTTGTAAGAACGATGTAAATGCATGTTGTTAGTCTGTGTTGGCATGACTGTTACCTGCTTCTTGTCATTTTCAGGAACGTGACTGAAGAACTCACAAGCCTGCCAGAACAGGATGTTCTCCTCACTGAACTCTTTCTTTAGGAACTCCTGCAGCATGATACGGAAATACAGATCAAAAATGTGCGGAAAGAAAAAAATTTGGCATACATCATTATTGTGATGTATCTTCACAATAATACAGCAGGGTTTGTCTCTGTTACAGTTAAAACCTGCTTTCCACCCAAGAAAGACTGAAGATTTCATTTTTTTCATGCTTCAAAAAAATATTTGTGTGAGGCAGATTTATTAAAGACTAACACAGATATCACACAAGAAAAAGAGAATGAAACAAATGTCAAATGACACACGGCCCCTACTGACATAACACACCAAACTGACCCTTTTTCCTCTGCAGAAGAGTCTTGAGAACATGTCCTTTTCTACCTTCCAGCAATGCTGTAGGTGACTTTCTAGTATATAAGGCCTTTAATCAGGTCACTGTAATGCTGCCATGTAGATTACTGCTCTCTGGCAGTAGGAGGCCAACAATAGCTGACACAAAACAAGAAACTTCCCAAAAAGTATCTGATAGACTTCACATCTGTGTCTGTTGGAAAACCCACCTTACAGAACAATATCTGATTAAACTTTTAACTCTGCAACACTAGAAAAGTTTAATTAAAGTAATTTTGATAGTTAAACAGATACAGATCTGTCAGGAGCATGTGCTGACCAACACCAGCCATGTGCTCTCATAGTACCGAAAAGTAGCGGACTCCCACAGGGTCCTGCAGCAGTCTCTCGAAGCAGACAGCCCAGCTGGCCACTCTCCTCTCAGTGTGGCGCCGATGGCTCTGGACGCTGGGCAGGCTGGCATTACTGTTCAGACTGTTGTCACTGCTGCAGCCCTGCAGCTCCGCACTGTTCAGTTCTGTTCACACACACAGACAAATACACATAACATCAACTATCAGTAGCAGCATGATCTCAGTAGGGCTGGGAGTCTTTAAGTTTCTTCCAATTTGACTTTTACTATTATCAGTGCATTCCCAGTGATGATTTCCTTACTTTTCTTTTACTGTATATGCACATTCACAAGAGAATAATCATTTGGTGGGGTGAATTATAATAGTTAAAATCAATATCAAATTCATTAAAAACATTTATCCAAGATCTGTTTTCTTTTCCTCTTTGCTGCTCTGTCTACAGGTGCTCTACCTGAAAGCAGCATTGTCACCAGTATGAAAAACACCTGGGCCCTGTGTGTCCCAGGAGTGTCTCATGCTGACGATAATGCTGGAGTAACAGACAGTCCAGTGAGACCTTGTTTCCCCATGTGTCCCTATTATGGTTTTGTGTTGCTTCATGTTGTGCTTTGCAACACAACCCCCACGCAGGATGCTTTCGCTCATGCATTGCCTGTGATAGTGATATCACAGAGTTGAACTATGCATTAGTTTTAGTTGTTATGATGCAAATCAATGTATTTATGATTCAATATGCCTATCTCCTTTTCTTGCCACAATCTGAGCACCAGGCTGTGACATATCACAGTGAAGGAAATATAAGTACAGCCTCATGGAACATAAACTGATTTTCAATGCAAGGACCTGTGTTGCACTGTTTTACATTATATCAAACAAAGCTCATGTAAAACAAACAGTTTAGTTCTGAACAAAAAGAGTTAAACAGAAATTTAATACAATCATAATATTATGATACGATTCCAGAAAAAGCATAAATGTAAAGCTGAAAAATTTCATGCACATTCGGGATCATTTATTATTGCAACAGAAGTGTCCCTGCAGCTCCATGCGAGTCAGAATAGATCAGTGTTGTGTTAATCCTTTGCACTTTTCTTTGTGTTTTATTTACATTTCACAATTTAATTGGTTTAATCTTGAGCTCCCAACAGTATTGAACAGTTTTAACATCTTGGACACGGTAGCTGCTCTTTTGTACCGTGCACTCTCTCAGTTAAAACAAAGTTTTACTCATAAAGCACTATTTTAACATTCCCACTAAGTTGTTTTGTGCATCGATGATGAATTGTTCCACTTTTCCCACCTCTAGGTTCCTAATGTTTAGGAGAAAGCTGGAGGCCTAGACAAAGGGGCATGGAGAAAAGTTAGAAATAACCAGAATAAAGGAGCTTAAGGCCTGATTAACTAAAAAGTGGGCTGCTAAGTTGAGATAAAACAAAATACAAGAACAGCCAGAGTTAAGCAGTCATGGGTCAGGTGTCTGAGACCATGCAAATCCTATAAATAAACGGAAAGACCGGTTTCCTGCCCACAGCTAAAGTCTGATGTTATCTAAAACTTTGCTCTTAATGGATAATTTCTATTTATGCACATTTTTCTTTCCTTTAATATTATCAAAACAACCCCTGACACTTCAACTTCAGTGAGCAGTGGTTATCTATCACTGTCGATGAGAAGCAAACACTTATCCATGACTTCTCTAAACCACATATCCTGTTAGCTGTCACAGGTTCTGGTCACAAACCAAAAAAGGAAAATACTTACAGCGAGACTAATCTGCAAAGTCTGAAAAACAGAGCTGAATTTTTCATAGAATTTCTGCCAAACAGTAAATATTCTAAGCATTAACTTTTTATGGCCCTGAAATGTCAGTCAACTACAATCAACTATGAACAATGGGGTCCTACATGAACACACTGGTTTACAGTAAACTTATGACAGCTGTGGTTATTTCACACAAGAGTTACAGTATGTACATATGTAGTGTTGTCACAATAGTGGAATTTCTAACTTTGATACAACTCCCATGTAGCATACATTCTCTTATTATATTCTTATATATTTTTATTATATTGCTGCATTTGCTGCTTAAAGTGCCTTAGATTTTGTGTTACTTATTTATCTACTTTATATTTCATTTGTATTTTGTGGCATTCATGTGGACGGCAAAAAAGAATTTCATTGTATAGGGAAACACGTTTCCTAACATATGACAAATAAACACTTTGACCTTGACCTTTTGACCTTTATATTGATACTAGGTACCATTTTTGATACCACAGGGGAAAACTAACTCCTGATTGAGGGCATACATTTTTACATTTTATTTAAAAGATAGTATAGCAAGGCTATAACATGACATTTTCAGGAAAGGCTTCTTTAACATATTCTCTTACAACTGGGATCAATTCAACCATATCTTGTTCCTCTCTTACTAGGCACACTTGCAAAAATGAACTGTGGTTATTCTGAGTGTGTTTATGCACATGTGCATGCATACTTTTATGAATGTAAATGTTTGTGGGTCCGTGCAAATACGTGTGGGCGTGCATGCATGTGCATATGCATTTGGATATGTATGTGAAATCCTGTGCAGCACTTTGTACTATATGTTTTGAAGAGTGCTATATATATAAACTATCATTATTATTATATTCTTTTCTTGGCTAGCAGCAGACAACAGGAGAATGAATGAAGTAGACATTACCAGTAATTATTTGTACTTTTTTGTCTTTTTTTTCACATTAATGAAAACAATATTTTTTGTGAATAAAGAGCCTGTGAGATTGTCACACATGCTGTGTTAAGCATAATTGCATCTAACTTAATTTACTAATTAATGTAAGTATTTTTGTATCAACTGAATCTCTGCTGTCTGAGAGTCCTCAGCCCTGATAGCTCTTTCAAAGCTTAGCTTTGAAAGTTACAGTTGGACCAACAATAGGACAACACACTTAACAGTTTACCCGGCCATCGTGTTTAGTGCTTCACTGATGCTGAAATGGGAAATGTCACCAGCCTCTTTATAGATGTCAGTATGTCTCTCATTTAGGTACATAGCTTAGAGCTGCATTAACTAAGATTTAGCACAAATTCAGATCAATCAAATCAAAAATTGTCTAGAAGTGTTGTCCCCTTGCTAGATGCCTAAGTACAGTACCTGGCTAATGTGTATATGTCAGCATCATTAGCAAGCTAACATTTAAATGTTCTACCTTTGCATTGAATTATTCTGGTTGTAATCTGGAGTCATTCCAACTGACTGTTATGTTAGTGTTTTGTTGTCCAATTAGCAAAAACCAGCACATTTTCCAGGATTAGAAAAATTAAGAAATTTTGTTCAGTTTGCTAATTTTTGCTCAGTTTTGGTCCAGGCCACACAGTTTGTTTATGTTGAACATAACGCTGCAGTCTATGTAGCATTTTAGTGAGATGCTGATCAAATTTATACCATCAACACAACTTGAAAAGTTGGGAGTCTGTTCAGCTATCAAAGTGCAACATGTAATTCTCGTTTCACATATACAGTATCTCACGGTTACCTTATTACATTATGTGCGTCAAGCATGTAAACACTGAACGTGACTCGACTGTGGCCTGAACATGTGGCTCCTCTGGAAAAAGGTGATGCCATGTACTGTACTTCCGTAAACCAGTCAGCATGACATCAGGTTATTTATTAACTGCCAATCAAATCTGATCAAACCACACTCAAATAGTCCTCATGAAGCAGGTTAACAGAATTTTATGTGAAACTCGTCATAGATAATTAATAAATTAGGATGTTTATCTTTTGAACTTTTACTTTTTTTCTTTTTAAGTTACTAAGCAATACATAAAATTTGAAACGACGTTTTCAGGAGTTCCAAGTATAATTACTAAATACTTTGGTACATTTTGAAATCTACATTTGACAAAGGTTCGATTTTGCTACACATGCAAAAGAAAATCAGCCATTTCAAAAGATATTTTACAGTGAAAATGCTCAGCAGGGCTCAGTGACAGAGTGATTAAATTCAGACTTCAACAACAGCAGAGGAGAAAATAATTCTTTTTAGAATTAGGTCCACAAACAGTATACTACCTTGGCCCTAACTCAGTATTCTCTTTAAAGCCAAAGAGGCTTTAGTGTAGATGCAGAAAAGGAGGATACTAATTTAATCCTCACACACTGTTCAGACTAGCACTGTTAACATTACAGCTGCCCTACCGCATTTGCACGGACAGGCTGGTAGTTACAAAATAATTTGTTAAACAACCTAAGCATCTAGTGATCTGGGGCTTTGTCTTAAACTTCATTTTGAAGATATTTCAAGACATACTGCTCAGCTGCACATAATATCAGCATTTTCTTCACTTGGAAAACATGCACTTAAAGCTCCATCTATCTCCTCACCTGGGTAAAGCTGGTAAGAGCCTGTGTGATGCCAGCGGGGCAGGTAGCGAATCCTAAGGGGTGCCCAAGCCCCTCCATCCATACTCACCCGCTTAGGGCCTCTCACAAACACACCAGTTGAAACACATAGTCCAAGACAGGGCACATACACACACACACACACACACAGCTGATCACATCGCTGGAAGGGAGACAGAGATAGAGGAGGGAAAACAGGGGAAGAAGAGAGAGGGGCTGTTGCAGGTGAGCAGCCTGACTGACAACCTGAGAGAGTCGGGTCACAACATGCACACGCATCTGCATTTACATTCAGTCACACAGGTGCACACACACACACCCACCCCTATGAGCTTCCAGGTAGGTAAGTGATACAAGCACACACAAGTATCAAGATGCTGAATAATTCACAGCACAGAGAGGAGGGAACTAAAAATGACAGAGCACACACACCCGTGTACATGTGTGCGCACACACAAACTGCAGTATTGATGAGGAGCTTGTTAAAGGAAGGCCACGACAGAGACTAATGAGGTCTGCAGCCTCCATACAGCTGCACATACACGTCTGACAGATAAAAATCCCTGAAATCCGACTCAATTAGCTTGCAATCCAACATTGTATGAAATACTGCTACAGGGTTTCACAAATCATTCTGTGCCTAGTGACAGGTTTTAGGATATACAGACAAAATTCATGCTACAATACTCAGGACACTGGAGAGAAAGTTCAGAAAATGTACATTCAAATTCATAATAAGACGAATTTTACTTATTATTTTAAAAATAATTCACCTATTTTTATTTTCAACAAATTTGAGATATCAAGACTTTTGGGTTTGCTAAATGCCACTGAGGGCTGAGAAACGGTGTACAAATATAGCTTTAGACTAGTCTTTTTTCCAAACGTGAACTTTGTTAACGCTCCAACAACTGGAGTGGGGTCCAGCGCTATGCGATGAGAAACGTGAGCGCAATAATATTATAGCATTCTATCATCACATACTATATTCATTCACAAAATGATCAGTAAGTCAGGAAGGACAGTTTCTGAAATGACAATCTGACGAGCATGGCTACAGGCCTTCACACGTGTCAGGTGTGGGGAGGCGAACTTCTTCTCACACACTGACTTCTGTCATGTTTTACATGAGCAACACCACAAATGTCTTGAAGGAGAGGCTTTCTGAATGTTTGCACTTCTTCTTCTTTCGGCTGTTCCTGTTAGGGGTCGCCACAGCGACTGCACTACATGAAAACGTCACCTATTACCTCTGCGTTTGAAATACATTACTAAGAATCAGTAGTACAAAAGCAAAACATAAGCCTCTTAAAGTGTAAACACCATGTTCAGTCTCACGCTATGTGTCCTATCCGTGACTCACCACTACATGTCCTTGTGTGCAGTTAATAAGTTTACAAATCTGTGAGGTCTCAGTCCGCCAACAGTAGCACAGCTAACAGAGGTGGGGCAGAAGTTGAACAGGTCCAACCAGACTGTCTGTTATGTGACTTTAGTAAAAGCAGCCAGATATTAATGAAGTGCTCACCATCACCACAGCCATGGGTCTACACTTCAGAGAAGGCAACTATCCCAATACAATGAGCCATATGTAGTATTTATGCTACTTAAAAGTGATCATAACCACTAAAGAGCTGAGGGAAGTGAATTTATAGTAGACAAGGGTCTGTCAGAAGTACTGGTGAGAATGTTGCTTTCAGTACGTGGCCATACTGTAAGTAACCATCTTACAGTCAGCTTTCTCCAGTAGTGACAATATCAGATGTGGAAAAGACATATCTACTCACCTCCATCGGAGACTGCAGCAGACTGCAAAAAAGCACAGAAAGACATGGATTAGGATCTTCTCTCATTACACACATTCGTACAAGCCTAAACAGTCCACAGGGGCCAGGATACCCGGGCATGTGCTTTTGGCCATGTGGAGACACAAACACAGACTGACAGTGTATCTCACAGGACCTGCCCCACACACTTTCACATCATAATACAGTCAGGTTGGCTCCCACACTCATTGTCTTGTGTGTGGGTGGACTCCTCTGTGAACTGGCTGTGCTTGCTCTGCAAGAAAACCTCCTCAGAGGGGTGGGGCTTGCTGTGTGCATGTGCGTGGCTGGTATTACAAACACTGTGGGGACTCAACCTTCCTGCTAGTTACCATATGCTGATCTCCACCGTGTAAATCACTGACTTTTAGGCTTACAACTTGGTTTATAGGTAGGTAGAGGTTATGGTTAAGGTCAGGCTAAGTCTCCAAGAAATGAATGTAAGTCAGTGTAAAGTCCTCACGAAGAATGAAAATAATTGTGTGTGTGTGTGTGTGTCTGTGTAAAGAGGTGAGGAGGGGATTTTTAGGCCTATCTGTCCCCAATTTGACAGTCAAGTGTGATGTTTACTTGCATATCTCATAACCACCAATTCCATATAGTTTATCAATTTAACTATCAGTTTAGATCAATTCAGTTTAAACCTCTATCTGTTCACCTATTATTCGATTTTCAGACTGACCTCCCCGCATCTTATTTTTCACTCGCACAAACAGAAACACACACAGACACACACACGGACAGAGATATCTACACAAACACAAATTCAAACCAAACTTACTTTAGATTCTATTTCCCTAACACAGACACAGCATGCATACACATACACACACACACACACAATGCGGTGATTTGTATCCCAGACACGATGAGTTGGGAGATCACTCCACACATACTAACTCTGGAACATAGTTGAAACACTCAGTGACTCAGACAGAGCAGAAGTAAAGAGCAGCCAAAGGGGAGAAAGGAGGAACAGAGAATGAAAGTGAGACATGGGCGAGACAAGAAAGGAGGCACTTTAAAACTATTTGCCAAATAGAGATATTAGTAGCGAAGAATACCAAACTGTTGTGAGCAGCTTCTGATGCTGTTAATCTAACCACCGACTGGCTTTGTCTCTGTTCATGTGACAAAAGAGCAATTAGGGAGATACCACCAGATATGCTGATTCAGCAGATATTTTCTGCATTTGGAAATGAACTTTTAACAATCTAATCTTTAGCCAACACAGGCACACAGAGACTCCTGGATAACTTGATGTTTGTGTTATCTTATGGTAATCAAGAGAAACATTTTGACATTATACTGAAACAAACACTGAGCAATAGAGTCTTTGCCCTGTTTAGACAGAAGTGCATCTGGAGCAAATCCCCTCATTATATACGAGGAACCGGTATATAATTGCTCTTACTTATGCTATACCAGAACCAAAAAAAAAACCTGATTAAAGTCAGCTTTTGCAGTAACCTGATTTATTAAACATGATGTATATAAGACCACCAGTTTACACCCAGTTCATTAAAAAAGGTAAGATAACACGATGTCTGTTGGGAAAAAAAACTTCAGTTTATCCCCTTCTTCCTGACGGATCCTCTCAAGCCATCAGACTGGATGGGAAGTGTCTATAAAGTGCCATCTTCAGATCTCTCCACAGATGTTCTAGGGGGGGCTCAGCCTTGGCCTCGGCTGGGTCACTCGAGGACAGTCAGAGACTTATCTTGAAGCCACTTGTGTCTCAGGTCTCTGCACTCTGGAGCAGGTTTCCTTCAAGGACCTCTGTATTTGGCTGCATTCATCCTTCCCTCAGCTCCAACCACTGAGAAGCCCCTCACAGAATTATGCTGCTACCATCATGCTTCACTGTAAGGATGGTGTCAGTATTATTAAATGCAGTGTTAAACTCCAGCAGGCTGTCATATTCCTTCTACACAAAGTCACTTCTGTGTAGCCACTCTACTGCAAAGACCAGACTGAGAGAGAGCTGCTAAGATGGTCGTCCGTCCAGCAGGTTCTCCCATCCCTGCAGAGGATTTCTGAAGAGTGACTGCTGGGATACCTTTGTAAATGAGAGTTCCATTTTTGATTTTTAATTAATTTGCAAAAATGCAATTGTAAATATACAACACAATAAAGTGTGCTAAAAGTGAAGGGTATGCACTTTCTGAAGCCACTGTATGCATACGTAATACTGTTTCCAGTTTTAAGTACATGTACAAAATTCACACTGTAAGGAAACAACTGTCCAGAAATTAGAGCAAATACAAATACTGTACCTCACATTCAATGTACACTATATAAATCTAATTACGGTGAGCCCTTGGTACAGCACAAGTGCGCATCTGATTCATTTCGCATCTTGGCCATTTCCTCACTTGAGCCTGAGCCTGCCTGAGTCTGTCCTGGCCAGATGGCACAGCCAGCATAATCACTGGGATTAGCCATTGTCCCTGGAAGAGCAGAAGTTGGCACTGGTGTGTGAAAAGAGATTAAATGTGACTTTATAGCAGCTGATTTTGGCTGAATCACAGCAGAGGACAAGAGATAATGACAGAGGAAGAACCCTCACCAGTGGAAACTGGTTACCCGATCCTGACGCTGATTAGAGTCTTGCACACTTCAACAGCATTTATTCTGTCTCATGTGTGGGTGAGTTACAACATGCTGTGTCTTTTATATGGTGGATGTAGCTTTTACATCATGTATTTTTTTTTTTTTGTATCTAGGGTGCATTTGTTCGCATATGAATGTGTGTGTGTTCATCCCCCAACCCGATCCAGCCATAATGTGATCACTTCCAGACGTATTCTGTGGTGGAGTGGTTTGATCCCAGGTTGAGGCCCTAAGACCCCTCCCCTCTCCTCTCCTCTCCTCTCCTCTCCTCCCTTTAACTTCCTTCTGACATTTTTTCAGACTCTCCTCATATTTGTCTTTTCTTCCTATCCAGTCTTCCTGTTCTTTGTCTCATCTCTCTCCTCCCACTCCCCCTTCAAGTCATTCTCTTATTCTTTCCCTCCCTCCTTCAACCTTTATTCTGTCATTCCAGTGGTGTTTCCCCCTCCTCTCCAGCTCATTCTTGACAACCCAAAGGGAATGATGGGGTTTTCCAGGCTTTCCATCTACTCCTCTCCCCAAGCCCCTATTCAGACAGAAGCATGAAGCTGGAAAACATAACAGTCTTAATCAGAAACAGAGAATCTCAAATACAGTATATCCTCAACTGTTTGTAACAAAGAAGTTCTACCACTTCATAGGCTCCATGTGATTGACTGATAGATAGATAGATATTCGGTTGAGTCTGAGTTGAGTCTCCATTACTCAAGTCCGAGTCATCAAGGTCTACATTAAACACAGCTGACACAGCTCTCATCGTTTCAAAAGGAGTTTATTTACTGTGTATGACACAATAGCCAAAGAAATGCACTCGTAAGCATGCACACACACAACCTATAAGAAACTAGTGTAAATATCATTTTGAATATCTTATGCCAAATTATTATGGCGTCTCCACCTTCAGTGTTCAAATGCAGACAAGTCAGAGTCCAAGTCGAGTCATGAGTCCTAATTTTCAGGTACTACAACACTGCATACAGTAAATGCACTGACAAGACCAGCAAAAACTGTGGCACAGCAACACATGACTTGTATAAAAACTCAGTGTGTGTGTGTAGTTTTGAATTTTGTGAATTCACACAGATGTGTAGCTAATGGTTTCTTTTCATCTCTTTAACATATCAGCAGCACATTATTTATTCATTTGCCATTCACACTGCCTCAGATGCAGTTTGTTATGATGTTGCATGACAATCCATTACTAGCATTAGTTTTATTACATTTCATTGCACAGGCCTATAAGAATTGGAGCCGACTATCAGGGAAGACACAAAAAACATGACCTTCCTAAGATTCTGCCCAGTGGGAGATCCTGCACTTTCAAAATACTCTTTTCAACAATGAAGCCAAACACCAGTTTCATACAACTTTAACTATTAACTACCAAGATGCAGCGATGCCAGTGTGACACCTCACTAGCAGGTTAACTTCAGACAGATATTTGTCTTTCACTTGCACCAACATGTGCAGGAGAATGCTCAACTGCTATGTTTTTCTGGTTTTAGTAGGTCAAGCATAGCTGTTCCTACAGTGGTCTGCCATTTGAGGTTGGTTCAACAGAAATAACAAGGACAAACAAGCACTTCCTCTAGATCACAATTTTATGGTATTATGAACCATGTCTGCCTGTCCACAGTGGTATTTAGAATTCCAAACAACAGCTCAGTGCTTTCAGACAATATTGACCTTAAACAATAGCTCAGTGCTTTCAGACAATATTGACCAATTTACACTAGGGTCATGATCAAAGACACAACGGATACAGACTAGAGCCCAACCAATACTGGACTGTGTCTGGCTGATACTGATATCTTTGAAAGTTTAAAAAAGTCAGACTATGCTGTACATTGGCCCATATTCTTTTTTTTTCTAAACAAAAAGGAAAGCAACATTTTTGATAAGGCTACATTAAGATCAGTTTCAAAAACGAGGACATTTTATAACAGAAAAATAAACTTGTTTAAAGCAGTTAAAGAGTCCAAGGTGACATCTTTAAAAACTTCATGTTGCCTGACCAACACCCCAGGTCCCCACAGTATTCATTTTTCAACTTTATAAATGCAGCAATCCTCACATTTGAAAAGTTGGAACCAAGAAACCAATCGATCAATCAACTAACTAACCCAGTAGCCTAATTTTAAACATGAGTGAGTCTATAGATGAAGGCACCTCTTGAATTAGGCTGTCACAAAAATGAATAAACTCTATGAAGAACTTCACAAGATTGTTTTGATTCTTCGGAGGAGTGCCGTGCTCTGAACAGTGACGCAGTGGATGTGTTCTGAACACACAACGCTCGGACAACCGCTTCAGATCACACGGCTGGGTCATGGTGTCGCACAAGATGCAGCTGATAGTGGGATAGAGGGA